GCTCTTGAGAGTCCCCTGGACTGCAAGGAGAACAAACCTATCAATTCTAAAGGAAATCAACCCTGAGTGCTCACTGGAAGGACAGATCCTGAAGCTGAGGCTCCAGTACTTTGGTCATCTCATGAGAAGAGAAGACTCCCTGGAAAAGACCTTGATGTTGGGAAAGTGTGAAGGCAAGAGAAGGGGACGACAGAGGATGAGATGGTTGGACAGTGTCATCGAAGCAACCAACATGAATTTGACACAACTCCGGGAGGCAGTGGAAGATAGGAGGGCCTGGCGTGCTCTGGTCCATGGGGTCACAAAGAGTCGGACATGACTAAACGATGACGAGTTTTATTACTAAATACTGGTCATTGATTGAATGATCCAGGACAATTTTCAATCCAGTGAGTTATCTTCTTCTCATAATAACTGAACTACTCTGTAACTCAGCAGACAGCCATTTGCTAACTATTTTAAAGTGGATTTAGTCCCAGAAATAAATCAACTAATTACACTAGATAACTTGTTTTACCTGGTTATAACCCAGGACCTCACAGATTAAGGGTTGCACAATCAGTAATATTCTGGAGTTCCCAACCATCCTGGGCCCCCTTTTTCCTCAGATAATATCAGTGGCAGTCTAAGCAGTGTTTCTCTGAGATTATTAAAATCAACCTTTCTGAAGTCCAGAGTATAAGTTCAGGGCATCTGAACTATGGTTACTACAAAGTGAATTCCTCTCATACTCCTCCCTACTTTAACCCAATTGTCAAAAATCTTTTTCACTAACCCTGAAATAAGTCAAGTTTAGCCAATTTCTCTTATTCCTCCACATCCCAAAGACAGTCTGCAAACCATGTCAGAAATTTGTTCTAAAATGATGTACACAGTAGAACTGGTGTCTTTCAACATAGGTCAAGATGGATGGAATTCCCACATGCTCTACAAATTTACTTCACTTTCCTTTCCCAGGCAATTGAGGTTGTAGTCTACGTCAAGCCATCTTGGATCTCCTGACCTTGATAAAGTGTACCCCTATGCTGTGTCTAGCATTCAAAGCTATACACAATAGATTATCAAAGTAAAATAACCAGTGATGAAATCAACTGTACTCATAAGAGCTAGAAACCAAATCTGATAGTGTCTTGGCTCCTTCTGCCAGACAGACCAGCTAGTTTAGTACACAGTATGCACAATAATAGAAATAAAGGCTATTCAGAGTTTCAGTTCTTCCATCACAGTAAAATAAGGTCAAATTTAGCAGCAGCCAACAAACTAGTAAAGCTGTTTCCTTATTAAATTCCACATGTTGCTCCAGATGTTAGTTCTTTATTATGTTTAGAAAATCATAAAAAGGTTAAACCTCTGTCATTGCTCAACCTCGAGTGGCTAAATGCCATTTGTTCCTCTAAGATGTTGGGAGCTAAAACTCAAAAAAGAAATTTGGAAAATTTTGTCTTCAAACAAACTTGAGTCTACTAGTGCTTATATTTTTATTACACTTTTTTTTAAAAAAAGGATAAAACAGTTTGGCATTTAATTGTAACTCACAGTTGCACAGATTTAAGGGATATAATTACAAACTTTGTCTTAGTAGATTGGACCTGTGGCCATATAAGTGTTTTATATATACTTTAATTATTGTTCCACAACTTCTTACTAGTCTT